CGTAGATATTAGCACTTTACACATGTTTGATTGTATTTATCAAGACATCAGCATTATTTCTCAAGAAATCCACAAACTAGAAGTGTTGAGGAAAGTGGAAAAAAAGGTTTTTATTTGAAGCATATTGGTTTTGCATAAAATGACAGCCCTGGGTGGAACATCACATTTGTTTAATTGCCCAGATGACAAGCAAAGATCCTTGGCTGCTGTCGATCTGATTTTCTCAAGGGAGCGATGCCTCCTACTGCTCCTCTTCACACAAACTGACCTGAGATAGGACACACTGTGATACTCGCTAGTGGATACCTGCATCATTTCTGAGCAGATTACTTTTCTTATGCTAGTCTTAAAAAAATATTTAACCACTGGAGATTGTGTTTCTGGAGTGTGTACGTGTGTTAGTGTTTGGAATCGGTGCTATGAGTTGAATGGCACACAGGTCTAAGTGGAGCCCTGCGGCAGTTTCCAGACAGACTCTTATCGCCCGCTCTGTTACAATCCAGAGTGACAGCTCTTTGTAGTTGAAGCTATTCTTAGCCTCCCTGGATCCATTGTGGGGGTTCACTTGAACCGGAGCCTGCGGAGCTGCACAGGACATTCGTGGTCACTCGATGGCTGCTGACACCTACGCTTCTTCTCACACCTGTCGTCCGCACACAGCCACAGGCCATCACCCAGCTGAGGATCTCCCTATCATCCGTCTCTCTTTAGTTCTCTTTATTTTGTTTGCATGCTCACTCTGCCTGCAGTCGCCCTGCACTTTAGGTAGATTCTATCTAGATGTTTCTATTCTCAGGTTGATTCTCGGCACTAAAACCACAGAAAAGATAAAGGGAGCGCAGCAAAGAATTTGCAAAACTTCTATTTCTCTCTTCTCGCTCTCATCTCTTCAGATGGCTCACAGTCGGGAAACCACAAGATACAGATATATGTGAGGATGTCCTCCTTCTTTCTAAATGTGTAAGAGTTTCTTTTGCTGGCCTCTCTTTAACCTCAGTCCTGCAGCATGTCGGTTGTGATATGCATCATCCAAACGAAGTGTCCGACTCAGCAACAACAAATTATGAGCTGCAACATGCGTGCTGGAAAGGATGCATTCTGCTGAAGATTATACAATCACATGGTTGACAGTCTTATACCATTGTAATGTGCTTGTAGCTTTTTTTGCGGATTTTTTTCCCCATGTGCAAATGTTCAATCAAAACAAATTCCTACCCGACTCTATGACCCCATTCGATCTGGACCCGATAACAAGTGGACAGCTCTGGGTACGACTGCATCTCCACATGCATCTCCAACAAACACTTGTGATCAGGTCACACTTGGCGGTGCTGTATCTAAATAAACACATGCATCATTTCTGTTTGCAAAGATCTAATTATGTTGTTTTAGCCAATCTGGCTCTACAGATGGGTCTTGTGTGTGTGTGTGTGTGTGTGTGTGT